AAGGAAGCTGACGAGCGGAAAAAGGGATTTGAACCCTCAACCTTAGCCTTGGCACGGCTATACTCTACCATTAAGCTATTTCCGCCATCAATTCACTTTGTGGTGCGCTCGCCGTGAGATGAGAGGCCGAAGGAAAGAAAATCAAATAAAAGAAAAGAAAACGCTCTTGCGAGCGCGGCTCGCCAGCAGAGCAGAGTGGGCCTAAGTAGATTTGAACTACTGACTTTACACTTATCAGGCGTATACTCTAACCAACTGAGTTACAGGCCCATGCTTGGAAAAACTTGAACTCTCAACCCCCAAATCCGTAGTTTGGTGCTAGATTCCATTGAAGCTCGATCCACAAAATTTTGCAAGTCTTCTTGCAAAATACTAGAAGTACATGTAGGAGTTAATAGAATTAAATCAAGTTTTTCCTCTTTATCTTTCCTAGTTATATTTTCTACTACTTTTTCTTGAGATACTCTTGCTAAACTTCCATTTTGTGGAGCGGGTTTTTACAGAATAGGATACATTTTGAAGCAGTTTTGGCCACCACTTCGTGTCCAGCAATTCGGCGGAGATGTCCGAATTGCTGCACTTTGTGCCTGGAGGCTCGCAAGAGTCAGTCAAGTACAAAATACAGGTAGGTCCTGCGAAGTATATATTATAGCAATCACACTAAGAGTATAAATGAAAGGAGTGAAATAAAGAGTAGCTTCTGGAAACATTGGTATTGAAAATCTTAAAAAACCATAAGTTCCCAATTTTAAGAGAATTCCCGCTAAGATAACAGATCCAGTGGTGGGTGCTTCTACATGAGCTTCAGGTAACCAAATATGAACTGGTACCATATGTACTTTCACTGCAAAAGATGCAAAAAAAACAATCCATAGCAATATTTGACGTCGTTCGCTAAATTCTGTTGTTAATTGGAGATACAAAATCTTGGTCCTCTTCTGGTTCAGTGGGATTTAAAGGATCTCGTCGTTCAACATCATTAGCTAAGTCATTGAAATGATTGTGGATGCTATCTATGAATTGCCCTCTTCTACTGGGCCTCATAAAACATTGCGCAAAGTACGAGATTGGAAAAACACAAAATGGTTAGTGAAGGGCGAAGCTCAATGTATAAGCGGCGCCTTGTTATCACGAATTCAAGATCAAAAGTTTTTGGACTTGATAGCATTTTTCATCAAACGAGATGCCAAAATGTTCAGTCAAATTATTCTGCCTGAATTAGACATTCAATTGAATGAGGTATGCAAAGCTTCTCAAAACAAAATATAGACTTTGATATTTTATTCATTTATTTCTTCTCTTTCCCCTCTTTTCTCTTTGCTTCTTGATCCCTCTCCACCTTTCCCCATCCCTCTCTCTCCCATTCTCTCACCCTCCTCTCCCCCAACTACTACCACATCATCTCCCTACCTCCCACTTCCATCTTTTTCTCTCTCCCACCTATTTCTCTCTTTTCTCGTTCACTTTTCATTCCCTTCCCCCCCTACTTCGAATCTTTGTGTTTTCTTTTTTCTATCTTTCTTTTGATTTATCTTTTTTTTTTTTTTTCCAAAAAAAATGAATATCTTCTTCCCCACCTTTTTTTCTCATTTTTTTATTTATTTCATTTATTTTTTTACTTGGTCTGAAAATTCGAATTTCCTTGCGGCATCCTTAAATCTGATTAGGAGTTTGTCATTCTTGCTTTCGGCACACATTTTGACCCCGTGGGGGTAACGAAGTGCTACCGAAATTTTCCCACTTTACTTAGCCTTTCTTCTTGACGGCACACTTCGACCCCATGGGGGTAACGAAATGCTGCCGAAATGTTTGAAAAATCCAACACTTCATTTTTCGTCTACCCCTTCTCTACTTATTTCCTTATTTATTTCTTTATCTATTTATTTATTATTCCTTTATTTATTTTCTGAAATTTTTCATTTGCGGCACTTTGAAACTTAGTTTGCTTATCTTGGTCTCTTTTTTCCCTTGGCACATTCTTGACCCCATGGGGGGTAGGGAAATGCTGCCGAAATTAAAAAATATATATATATTATTTTTCTCTTCACATTTTGTTTACTTATTCCCTTAATTACTTTTATTATTATTATTTTATTTTATTTTTCTCGAAATTTCACTGTTTAATTATTTTCCTCCCGCCTCCCCCCATGCTTGCTATTTTCTTTTCTTGATTAGATCACTGGTACCCTACCCTAACCGCTCAAACTCCGGTTAGGGTTTTCTTAGGGTTTTTCGAGGGTTTCGGATTCTTCAACCCCCCCTTACTTCCCCTTTCTATTCGGGCACCCTGGACTCGGATCACCCCTCCCCCTTTGACGGCGCCCGCGCTAGCCTTGCTAGCGCCATCCGCCGCTTTCTATCGCGACCCCCTCCTACGCCCTCCGCTTACGCGGACCTCCCTTAGCCCCCTCCAGTCCGTCCCGTCACCTCCCCATGGCCGACGGTGTGTCCCACGCCGCCGACGCGGCGACGACCACGGCACCGGGCTCCACACCCGTGCCGGCGGACCAGGGCCAGCAGCCCCAGGGGGATCTGCACATCTTCATCACCTCCCTCCTCGCGCCCATTCAGGCACAACTCGCGACCCTCGCGCCCTTACAGGCGCAGGTGGCGACCCTTGTCGTCGGCATGCGGCAACTCCAGGACGCTGCCTGTCCTTCATCTCCTGACTCTCTCTCTTCTCCTGGCTCCCAGTCCGGGTCCCCAGTCCTCCGACGGGGTGGCCACGATGGAGCTTCCTCCTCCGCTGCCCCCGACCCGACCATCTTGGTGACCGTCCACGCCCCTAGCTCGACGGCCGCCACGAGCCAGGCCCTCCCTTAGTCTACGGGCGCACCTGCCCAGATTCCAGTCACTACGGCCACGGGACCACAACCCGCTACCATGGTCTCATCTTTTCCGGGTGCCCCGCTTCTCCCTTCCCTTCGCACGACCGCAGCACCACCTGGCTCTTCCCCCTCTGAGATGCCCCGTGCCGCTCGTGCGTCCACCTCCCCCACTCTTCCTCCTGCCACTCCTCACTCGCTCTACGTCCAACGTCTCGAGGACAAGCTTGCCCAGACCCAGGCCGACCTCGCCCTCCTACGCCTTCAGCCACCCCCACCCTCACAGGTGTCCGCGCCTTCAGATGCACCCCCTCCTTCCTCTACCTTTCCTTCCATGCAGGCTCGCTTCCCTCGCCCTGCACCCTATCCAGCCCCATCCTACCTTCTTCATATTCCCGTGGTTGCTGCGACCTCTTCTACCGCAACTCCCTCGCAGCCTGCCGCTGTTGCCCCCGCCGCTCCACCATGCGGCCCGGGCGCACAGTCAGCTGCGCCCCTTTCTCCAGGACCTGCGCCGACTTACTCAGTCGTGGCATAGGCCTCTGCTCCTCGATCCCCTCGCCGCCAAAACGGTGGCGCACCACTCGTCCGCTTGACGGACATTGCCTTGTATGACGGTACAAGCATACGCGTGTCTCGGTGGCTACAGTCTACCACCCGCACCCTCCAGCCTATGGGCGCCCCACCTGACACGTGGGTGGGTCACATCTCCACGCGCCTGCGTGACGGTCCTTTTGATGTCTGGGAGGATTTCTACGCTTACTCCCTTCATGCGGGTCGGACTCCAAGCTTCATCGATTTCCAAGTGTTCCTCAAGGATCGCTTCGGAGCCCGACATGACGTGACTGACGCCTTCGAGCGTGTCGTCACTACACGCTGGTCCGGCTCTGGTGGTGCTGCCGGCCTGGATCGCCACATCCAGGTCTTTCAGGACGCCCGCCTCATTTGTGACGTGGCGTTCCTCCCCGAGGCTGCCCTTATCGATCGTTTCTTGGCCAGCCTTCCGCTCGAGTACTGCTCCGAGTTATGGCGGTACGAGTTCACATCGGCCCCGCAGGCTTACGAGGCCGCCAGAGACCATCAGCGGATGCGGGCCCATGTTCACCCCGCCTCCTCCTCCCAGCCTCAGCGCACTGGTTACGCCTCCTCCTCCTCTCGTGACACTTCCCAGCGTCGTTCCCCTTTCCGCTGTCGCCCCCGCCGTTCTGCGCAGCAGGGCCGCCTCCTCTCACGCGGCTTCAGCTCGCTCGAGTACGGTGAGCAGGACGCTGTTGCCCCGCTGTCGCCCGAGGGTGACCATAGCGACGACCTCGACCTCGGCGAGGTCGTCCACTACCACCTGGAGGACTCTACTCTCCCTATGGTCGAGCGCCTCCAGCTCATCCTCTCTACCCTCTCCCAGGCACGCAACCGCCCGGGTCACGCTGGCGCGTCGCCCTTGAGGTCCCTCAGCAGGACCTCCCTCAAGGCTTTGTCCCTCCTCGCGGTGTCCTTTCCGCTGAGGAGCGCGCGGCCATTTTGGGCCGGCGTGGGTGTTTGCGATGCTGCCAGGACGGTCATACCTCCTCGCGGTGCCCTTACACTGCCGCCCTCGACCGCCACTACGCTGCCCTTTCCCGCCAGCGTCGTGCTCCCCCCAACGCCTCGTATCCCCGCGGCGCCTCCTAGCCACGGTGCAGTGTACACCTGCGCCCTCCTAAGTAGTCGGCTTCCCGACATCCCCGTCGTGGTTTGCCCCTCTCGCTACTGGAGTTGAGGTCTCGCAGGATCCAACAGAGTGTACTCAGCCCTCTGTCGTAGTACCGTCTGCCCCTCCGCAGACCATCGTCTCCCCTCCTACCCCGCCGCGACTACTGACGCGTCGAGCCATTCGCTCAGCCCGTTGCAGCGAGCAGCTTGCGACTCGCGAGGACGTTGTATCCTCTCTTCTGGACTTGAGCATGCTTCAGGCTCGTCAGGAGCGACTCACCCTCCATGTCGGTGCACTTCGTCACCTTCTCACCATCCTCTCTAACCCTGATCGCACCCTCTCGATCATTCCAGTACGACTGGGCACCTCCACGATGGTGTACTCAGCGCTGTGGGATTCCGGTTCTTAGGGCGACTTCATTCACCCACGTGTGGTGAAAGACGCCCGCTTACCCACGACAGGGTCTCCGACTCCCATCTCCGTTACCCTAGGGGATGACAAGACCCAGCGCTTCTTCGATCAGACGGTCACCGACCTCCCTTTCTTCCTCACTCTCGAGCCGACTGATCGCCCCCGGCGTCTCGTCGCCACCGCTCCTCTGCACATTTCGATGTGATGGAGACGGGGTACGACTTCATTATCGGCACTCCGTGGTCTCGTCGGTTCCGCAGCACCGAGGCCGATTGGGCGACCAACACTCTCGTTCTCAAAACGAAGTGTGGACAAATGTATCACGCATCTTTCAGAGGTACCACTGCGACACCATGCCCCGATTCTCCTCCCCCGGAGCCTTCCGTGCCCACACCATCTCCTTCTGACCTGGAGCCCGCAGTTCATGACCTCATTCGAGAGTACCACGGCGTTTTCCCATCGTCCTTCTTGTACGCTAGCATCCCACCGATGCGCGACGTCGAGCACTCCATCCAGCTTGTGTCTGACTATAGTGTTCACCACCAGGCACCCTTCAAACTCTCGATCCCCGAGGCCACCGAACTCAAGCGTCCGCTTGAGGAACTCCTGAGACTAGGTTTCATTAAACCCAACAGCTCCCCGTGGGGTACACCCGTCCTCTTTGCTCGCAAAGCGGATGGAACTCTTTGTCTCTACATCGACTATCGCGGTCTCAACCGCTACACGGTTAAGAACAGCTACCCCATGCCTCGTTCCGATGAGTTGTTCGACCGCCTAGCAGGCAACCGCTTCTTTACGAAGATTGATCTTCATAGCGGTTACCATCAGATCCGCGTCGCTGCAGCGGACCAGTCGAAGACAATGTTCCGATTGCGCTTCGGCCACTACGAGTTTACGGTGATGCCATTCGGCCTCACGAATGCACCCGCTACCTTCCAGAGGGCGATGAACGGCATCTTCAGGGACATCCTGGAGCAGTACGTTCTCGTCTACCTCGACGATATCCTGGTCTACAGTCGTACCCTATACGACGTCCTTGACCGCTTTGCGCAGACATGGTTTTTATGCCAAGCTGAGCAAGTGCCGCTTTGCCCAACACAAAGTGGATTTCTTAGGACACTACGTGTCTGAGCAGGGTCTCCACATGGACGACGCGAAGATCACTGCTATCGCGGAGTGGCCCGTCCCCACATCCGCCAAGCAGCTTCGCAACTTTCTAGGCCTTACCAACTACTATAGTAATTCCATCCAGGGATATGCTAGGTATTTCTACGTCCTTACCTCCACCCTCCTCCGAAAGAACCCACCCTGGGCTTGCACACCCCTCCATGAGGACGCCTTCCATGCCCTCGAGAAGGCGGTGACATGCGCATCGGTTCCTCACCTACCCGATTTTGATCGCCCTTTTATCCTGACTACCGATGCGTCAGACTTTGTCGTAGGAGTAATGCTTTCTCAGATTTTCCCCTCCTCTCCTAATTCCTGTCACCCTTGTACCCCTCACTTCCCACCCCCTACCCCTACCACTGCCTCCCGCCTGACGCCTACTCGTCCAACTACTGACGAGCCTTCTATTGACGATTCTCCTACCATCGTCGAGGACGACACTATCGAGTCTCACTCAGGTGATTGTCCGATAGCCTTCTACTCTCGTCAGCTCCTGCCCGCAGAGATAAACTACACTGCTGATGAACGTGAGGTTCTCGCAGTAGTTTATGCCGCTCGGCACTGGCGTCACTACCTGCACGGGGCACCATTCACGGTGCGCACGGACAACTCCGTTGTCCAGGCTTTTCTGACAAAACCGAAGCTCACTCCTCAACAGGCTCGCTGGTGGCGCGACCTATCCGAGTTTAGTTTCACCACTGAGCACGTCAAGGGTCAGACTAATCGGGTCACAGATGCCTTATTCCGGCGCCCTGACCACAACCAGGAGCASATCCAGCTCTCTTCCATCTCGGTCACCACCGTCCACCACTCGGTGATCAACGAGTTTCGCACTCAGTACCGCCACTGCCCCGACTATCGCGACATCCAYGCGACCCTTCGGAGTGGCAAGACCGTCCCGAACTACTCTCTCAGGGCCAACGGTCTTGTGTACTGGCACGGTTCACAGGGCACCATAGAGCCCCGTATTTGCGTTCCCTCCACTGGACAGCTACGTGTCCGAGCAGTAGCAGAGTTCCATGACCAGGCAGCCGCCAGTCATATGGGCTTCCACAAGACGTTGGCTCGTGTGAGCCACCTGTACGTCTGACCGAGGTGCATCCCTAAGGGTTGTTGGCAGTCCATCTCGATGGACTTTATCGGTCCTCTTCGTCCTCTGACCCCCCGCGGTCATAATGCTATCTTGGTCGTCATCGACCGCTTCACGAAGCGTGCACGCTTTGTTCCGTGCCTCTACGCCATCAGTGCACGTGAGGTCGTCGACATCGTGTTTGACCGAGTCGTGCGTGACCACGACTTACCTCTGAGCATCATATCTGACCGTGACCCGCGCTTTACCAACCGATTCTGGCGACGGCTCCACGAGGTGTACGACACTCAGCTCCGCTTCTCCTCGTCTTACCATCCTCAGACTGATGGTCAGACCGAGATCACAAACATAACTCTCGGAGATATTTTCCGAAAGATTGTTCTTGACGACCAGCAGTGGGATCTCCATCTTGCCCACGCGGAGATAGCCTTCAACCACGCCGTCTCACCAGCCACGGGGATGTCGCCTTACTATTGCGACCTCGGCTATCACCCTCATGTCCCCGCGGACTTCCTTCGACCGTCACAGATGCACCCCGACACGAGTTGTCCCGCACTGGATGATTGGGTTGCACACATGACGTCGATCATGAAGACCGCACATTAGCACATAACCGCTTCCCAGACTCGCATGGCCGCACGTGCGAACCGATCGAGGATGGATCATCCATTCAAAGTCGGCGATGATGTGCTTATCAACGACCGCCACTTACAGCTCGAAGCGAACACACTTCGCAAGTTTCGGTGTCGCTTCTTTGGCCCATGCCGCATCCTCTAGGCCGTCGGTTCTGATACGGCTTCTAGCCCGGTCAGCTTCCGTGTGAAGCTGCCCGACTATCTACACGAGACTGGTGTGTTTGATGTCTACCACGTCTTGTTACTACGTCCTTACCACAGACCGTCTGAGCGTTTCGCTGGATGACCGTACGAGTGCCTTCCGCCCATCATGGTGGACGGCCACGAGGAGTTCCTCGTTTCAGACATCATTGGTCGCCGAGTCACCGACGACAACCCTTCTCACGTTGAGTATCTCGTACGTTTCAAGGGTTACCCTGATGAGGAGGCTACCTGGGAGCCCCTCGAGCACTTGCAGCACGCTCGCATGTTGGTGCGTGCCTATGACCGTGCTCGTCGTGCTGGGTCGACTGCTCCCCCTCAGCCCATTGACCCTCCTCCTTCTCCCTCGGCTGAGGAGACCGCTGAAGTCGAGCCTGCCCCATCTGAGGCAGACCTTCAGCAGCAGCCAGATGCTTCTGAGCGTCCACAACGCACTCGTCGTTGTCCTGCTCGATACGACGGTTGACTTTGATTTACCTTCCCACGTCTTTAACTTCTCAGTACTCCATCCACATCAGTTTTGCTACTTCATCTCGTCAACGTTGCGGCTCTTCCTCGACAGCATTCCGGACTTCTCATCGTGGACGTCATCGACAGCTTCATGGACTTCGTCACGATCAACTCTGCCTACTTCAGACGTCGTCACTCTCTTACCACTTTACCCTATATAGTACCCTTGTTGTGTCGCATGATGGTCTCCCTTTAGCCGGGTTCCTTTGAGTTGGGCTCTCCCTTGGTATACGCATAGGCATTGGGACCGTAGCGTTGCCCTGGCTTCCCAGCTTACGGATCTAGCTCCGACTTCCCTCACTTTATAAGTCATTTGCATGATTCCCTTACCCATCACCTTTCTACCCTCTGTCGGCCCTCACGCCCTAGTTAGGCAGCCTTGCATGCTTCATCTAGGTGCGCCCAGTATACGAGGCTCCCTTGTTCCCTTGCATCGTCGACCCTCCATAGCGGTCACCCCTTTAGTCGAGCATTACCTGCCGTGATGGTCTATCTCTTAGGGTCATTGGTTCTATTCGCTCCCAGTCCCCTACCCTCATTGAGCCTGATGACATGTGTTCCCCCTGTCACTATGTGTGGATGCCCTTAGGAGTTTTTGACCCCTGGCTGCATTCGCCACCCTCAGACATATGGTTGTCTTGTTGTTGCTTTGTTGCTCTCAGACTGAGGCTACTGCCTCTGACATTTCTAGGATTTAGTTGTTTGCTTTTGCTGTTCTTAGGACTTATACACTAGTCAGTTGTTCCCAGACTGAGGCTACCGCCTCCAACATTCAAGGGTTTAGTTGTCATTACTTTCTGCTTTCCTAGGACATGTATGCTAGTTAGTTGCTGTCATGGACGACTTGGTAGCCGTCCAGTACCATGGGGCCACTGAGGCCCAACTGGTCCAATTATTTTATCGTGCCATGCCAGAGCCCCTGTGTGGGCATTTCTTTGATAAGTCTCAACAGGCCGGCGTCACATATGATGTGATGAGAAGAGAGGTGGTCCTGTTTGAGTCAAAATCCATGTCAGTATCCACTTTCTGGCATAAGGACTTAGATAAGGGGAAGAAGTGGAAAGGGCGTACCATCTCGGGCCAAGTCAGGGCCAAGGATCACATGATCCTTACTTTAGAAGAAGGTGGTACTGATGAAGTCCCCTACAGTGAGATCGAGTGGGGGTTAGAGGAGGAGGACAGCAGCATAGGGAGGGGAGGTCCTATGCGGCTGTCGCGACTGGAGGGAGGCCACAAGGTAGAGGAGGAGGCCAGGGTCAGAGGGGCCAGGCCACGGGAGGCCGAGGATCAGGAGCCCAAGGGGTTGGCAGACAAGGGAACCGCCAAGTGGGAGGTAGGGGTCAAGGTCCCCCGTTGAATCGTAAGGGTTCTAGTCAGTCCCCGCAGCAATGAGGTGGAAGGCCACCTCAACAGACAGGAGGATGGCACCCAGGCTTGCCACAAGGCAGTCCATGGGAAGATTTGGGCTTGGACCAGCACGTGTGGCAAGAACGCGTGGACCTGGGTCAGTGCATGTTTTGTGGTGACCCGGCCCATGTTATCAATTTTTTTCCTAAGTATAGACAGGCCCGATGGGCTGCCCAACAGTCAAAAGGCAGCCGCCAGTAGGGGCGCAACTGCCCCTACTTCAAGGCCATATGGGGAAGCGAGCGTGCGCGAACAGGTAACTCCCACACCACATGAGCCTATGGCAGAGGTTGCAGGCCAGTGCCTAGCTAGTTGTTCAGAGACTGCTTGTGTTAGCGTCTCTCTAGGCACTTCCCTCACAGGCGTGGCAGAAGAGTTGAAGGAGAGGATGCCAGCCTGGACCAAGATGAAAAAGGAGAGTAAGGGACAACTAATTTTAGTTGATGTAGAAGTTTTCAGGAATAGAGTAAGGGCCCTTATAGATTCAGGGGCTACCCGTAGTTATATTAGCCGTAGAGGCTGAAGAAGCTGAGGCTAGGATTGAAAGTCCAAAAGTTGGCAGACCCCATAGTCAGTGTCCTCGCAGACAACCGCACTATGCATGTTGAGGACTACATAGAGGGAGTCCAGGCGTATTTTCGCCTAGAGAAAAATGGGAAGGTGGAGAAAGTTCTCCATTCCCTGACTCTCCTCGTGCAAGATGACCTTCCTTTCGATGTAGTGTTAGGAATGGATTGGGGAGAGGCAGCAGGGGCCACACTCAACTTGAGTTTATAGTGATGCCCTTTAGACTGACCAACGCGTCAGCTACATTTCAGCGATGTATGAACGACCTGTTTAGGCCATGGTTAGACAAGTTTGTAGTAGTTTATTTAGACTACCTAAGTGCCCGCGGTGCAGGCGGTGCGGTCAATGCCCGCAAAAAAAAAAAAAAAAAAAAAAAAA